ATGTGGGTGCCGATGTACAGGAAAAGAAAATCGACATTCATACCTACACTTCAATAAGAGACTCATCAAAATGACTGAGTATTTTTTAAGTCTGATAAAATCGTCGAAATTTCGTGAAAGTCAACGTCTTCAGATAATGTTGATGCTCCTGAGCCGCCTGTGCTAGCCACAGAGCCCAAATCGATCTCAGTGCTGAGATCGGTTTTTCATTATAGATGGCGCTGCAAATATTATTATTATTGAAAAAAATTGTAAAAACATTTTTTTTTCTTCAGAATTTTGAATTCTTCTTAATAATTAGTAAATTCGAATTTAAGTAGGAAATGCTTTCTGCAAAAATTTCGATCTGAAACCTGAAGCTGAGTGTGCTACCGTCGGTTCTTCCGACTACCAGACAATACATGATTTTATAGTTCAGATTCAAGACTCAAAGGATATGACTATTATTCTGAGTTAGCTTGAAATATTTCTCCACTTATTCAGCAACGAATGTTGGTCGTATGATATGATGTGTTTGAATGCTTGTTGAATGTTCAGCTGTTGCTATTTGATTCTACAATATGGTTCAACAGTTGTTCTAGCAAGAATAGAAATCGTTGAATTCATAAATAGCTCTTTTAATTGGTTAAATATCCAGTTGGCAATGATGCCAATTTATTCGAATTCTGTTTGACATACACGAAATTAGGTGCTAGTGTAGCATTGATTAATTTGTCTTGTTCATCAATTTTACTGTATGGCACTATGATATCAAAATCTGGTATTGACTCATTATTTAAATGACGTGAATGAGCCTGATCTTCAATCAGACTGCCAGTTGAAAAATATTTCATGCACTGTTTGTTCCTTCAAAAATCTTACAACAGTTTTTCTATTATGCTATTGAAATGATATATCCTTTCATTCTTATCTTTCTCCATGTTATCTTTTCTTGTCTTCTAATGCTATTAGATAAAAACAGTTCGTCGTGATTTGTTAGACTTTTTTTTTTCAATAGTTCTATTGAATGCTAGGCATTTTGTTCAAGAATAAAAATTAACGAATGGGATCAATCTCGAGTTTCAATCGTGCCAATCGCAACCAAGAAATCCTGAATGTAACTACTGTCCTCTAATGACCTCTAGGTACTTTTGTGCATCAAATTTTTGATCTATCAAATGTAATATTGATATAGTTAACTACATTTTTCTAAAATTTCAAGAATACTAACTAATAGTTGTTTTCTCCAATAACTGTTTGAGTAAAATTCGATTGGCTGCAACATTGGATAAATAATGGAAAAAAAAACATCAATTATATAATATGCAGAGTATTCACATACATTGATTCAGTGTTCCAAATGATGAATGCACCAAGCAAAATCAAAGTGAGTGCTCTACGCACTTATTTTGCACTCCACTAGAAAAAATAGAATGCACATGCTGCACTCTATTATAACATTTTTCATTTTGTTTTATATTTTAATTTATATTAATTTTTTCATCTTTACAATGAATTTTCTTATCTATTATGTTCTTTGATTCAAGCAAATAGTCTTTCTCTTATTCTTATTTCAGATAATGAACAAATCAAAAGAAAACTCAAATAATAGTAACAACCAAATGACTTCGTAACAGAGCTGTCGCGAGCAAGAAATCATTCCCTAATCTTTAGCAATTTTGTTTTTTTTGGCTCAAGGTTTTTCAAAAATTTTAGAAATATTTGTAAATTTTGTCACAAAATGATGATTTACATATTTTCTTTTTTGATTATTATTTGTATGTATACATGCACACAGAAGTCTAGAGTAAGAAGTATAACTTATATTTCTTTTTTCTAGACGTTTTTATACATTTGCACTTTGGTCGTTGAAACAAAATTCAACATTTCACCTCACCTGCTGAAAAAGAGCGTAGGATCTCACTATACTTCGAGTTCTCATTAAGAACGCTACGTTGATTTGTGCACTTAATTCTAGTTATGATTTGCTAGAGAAACTCAATTATTTTAACAGGAATATGTTCAGAAAATTTCAATTTATAAAACCGTATATAACAGAATCCTATCTTTTCCAATGAATAATATCTCGTTTGACAAAAAAATGGAGGTAACATCGAAGACAGATATTCCGAAGAATTTTCCATAAAAACTATCGCAAAATTCCGTGGAAAATACTTCGAATATGTGTGCTTCTTTTATTTGACAAAGTCGAAAAATATTTTAGAACATAGCAGCATATGATGAATAGTATTTTTTGAAACCTTATAAAGAAGAATTGAGTTCGTACGAACTGAAAAAGAATTTCGAAATGTGACGAAGAAATCACATAGATTCATACTTATCTCAATCTATTTTCTTTTAAGAAAAAAAAACACCAACTGTCACCTTCTCAACAACGACATAAAACCTTTTTACGGTTGGCGTATCTAATCAAGGATGTTACAAGCAACGTTCTTCCTAATTTGTCGACATTGGAATATTCCAGTTTTCAAACAAGTCACTCGACAATTTATTGCAGGTTCTTCTTGACATTATTATCTACTTTTTTTTTAAAATGATTAGTCTTTCGTTTCTGACCTCTCAGTAATTCATTTCAAATATTCGAGCTTCCGTCTGTCATAACTAATTGCATCAGAAGAGTACACCTTGATTGTATTCCTTTATGTAGATGAAAAGTGGCCGAGTCAATACAGGAAAAAAAAACCAATTTTCATTGCAAATCCTTTTGTCAACTGCCTGGAAAAAGACTGGACTACTTTTGATTTTCAACGGAATCTGCTTTTTTCGCCTGCTTGAATCTTGGATAGTCCGGTGTTCGAAGTATAATGTCTCGGTCTACACTAGGTCAAAAAATGTTTGATCAGCAGAAAATGAATCTTTCGACTACTTCGAATGCGAATATTGATCAATCAACAATCAATGCTACGAGTACAGGAGGAAATCATCAATTGAAAAATCAACATATCAATAAACCCATTGATAAATACGATATCGAAGATATTACCAGTCGACTGAACGCATCAAAAGCGAAGACTGTCGCCTATTGTCGATGTTGGCAATCAAAAAAAGTATGTTCATCTGACGCAAAAAGAAATCAATAGTATTTGATATTTCAACATAGGAAAAATTTCGATTAGATTGATCATTGACTTTATAATAGTGTAGAAAGAGAAAAGAAGAACATTGACTTCATCTTGTATATTAATGAGATTTGAACAGTCTTAGAATCGTTGCAATATGAAAAAAGTTTTGTTTACTCTTCGAAATTCTTCACATGATCTTACTGATTTGTTTTTCTTTCTTTAGTTTCCATTTTGTGATGCTACTCACAGTACGTGGAATAAGCAAACGGGTGACAATGTTGGTCCACTGATTATTACAAAAAAAAGTGGATGAAATAAGCAATTAAAACTGAAAATAAGTTCTTTTTCTGCTAATTGTGGTGACGAACTATTGATAGTCTTTGCGCTGTGTTTTTTTTAAAATAAAGAACGATTCATACATTTCTTTGAATGTTAGAGTGGATGTGGGTGTAGAAAAAGAGAAAACAACTGTTAACGTATAGCAGAAGGTGTGGATTCGAGTCCCACGAAGGTCATCGTTTTCTTTGTTCTGTCACATAACATTAGTGACACTGCTTGTCCTGCAGTTCTACACATATGAAGCTAACAACAACATCCACATCCACACTCTTCAAAAGTTACACAATAAAAGAAGAATTGTGAAACATAAAAAAATTAAGACATACTACTGTTTCGAGTAAACAGTCTTCTAGTTTTGACTTTTTCTGTTGCTTGACTGTTTTATGACATTATATAATTATTTGAGATGCAGAAAATACACTACATACACTATTTAATCTTGCTTTACTGTATTTTGCCACTATTATCAGGTCATAATTGATTTGTTCGATGAGAAAAAGAAATGTACCCTCTCTACGAAAGTAAATTTGGATGTCTTTTAAAAAGATGTTACCTGCTACGCACTCTTATAATAAACAATTTTCTACTCATAAGAATCATTTATAAATTAATTGTAATCATACGTATTTTATGACATGAATTATATGCTATTCTAATACACTTTTCACTAGTAAAGTCTAAATTGGCCCTCCATGATGATTAATAGGAATAGCAAATATTAAAAATTCAATCAATCGATTGCATACAATCATCCTATAATAATAAAGATGAATTGAAAATACTTTAACTAAATTGCTTCGATTTATTAACACTTGAAGAACGATCATATTCTATATTATTAAACAGAAGTTTCGTTCTCTAAATTGATATGGAAAGCATATTTGAAATTGAGCAAAACCATAGAAGGTTAGTAGTACTATTCGACGATAGAAAAACCTGCCGAATACGAATGGTGAGAAAACTCTTCTGAAAAAATTTACTTTTTCGAACAGGAAATATTTGCTCAGTGTATTCACGACTAGAACAGTAGTGTGATTATCAACGTTATTCTATGCAAGAAACGAAAGTATTATATTGCCTACGTATGCATCATGGCTTCCTCTATCCAAGTAGGGTGTGGGTGTGGGTGTGTGGGTGTGGGTGTGGGTTGGTAGGGCTGTGGATGGAACGAAGAATCACACCCACACCAGAAGGAGCACCAGAAACGGTAGCCCTAGAAACAACAAACATACACAGATGTTCAGTCGCGTTTGGTGCATTTTCAAAGTTTTAATCGATTTAAATAAAGGTTTTGGCGGTCTGTTTATATGACCGTGCCAAACAGGAAATTTTCTCTTTTTTTCATTATCGTCCCCTTTAGGTGATTTTTTGGAAGAGTGATATCCAATAGAGCAAAAAATATACCAATGAAAAGAAAACGTTGAACTATGATATGCTGAATTCGACATAGTGGACCCAATCGTTGAGATTTTTCTAGATGGACATGGGATCGATCGCTTATCGTTCGAAAACATATTAATTCAAGATAAGATATAAGTTGAACTTCTATCGAAATAATTCTACTTTCGAATGACTATTGATTCTTATTAAGGGTGGGGTGTGGGTGTGGGTAGGGAGAAAACTTTGATTAGGCACCCACACACACACACCTGTATATATGTTACGAGTACTTGCTAGTCAACTAGCCGCTTCTAGAAAAGTTTTAATTTATAACTTTTTAAAGTCGAACATGGTCAGAACTTTTGCAGAAAATTCATACTGAAATTTGACTGGAAAGAGTTCGATAGAAGAGATCGGTTCTGGCCAGGAAACATTGACTGCTTTGTCATTTGCAAACACATTGTTCAGAATATATGTAAAGAAAAGAAACGGTTAGTCACTACTCGTGTTTGAAGATCATAATGACGTGTTGTTATCTGTAAGAATAAAAAGGACAAAGTCCCACACACTTTTTACTCTGTAAGAATGATAAAAAGTAAACTATTATTCTTCTTCACCTTCGCCCTGTATCACTTAGCTCACGCATGAAGCTCTAGTCGTTTCAATAAAGATTCTTCGAGAGGTAAGTGCTTAATATGTTTTTTTTATCTAGCATTATCTCTCGTTCCGATCACACAAGCAAGCTCGTGAACGGTTATACATCAATAAATTTGAGCTTACAAGTAACGTTCCTTAGTTCTAGATTTAATAGTATTGTTTTTACAGCAGCATATAGCATATTTAAGGGTTATAATTGTATAAGGACTGTAGTTACTATTATTCATATAATTTTCTTTTGTATTTATATATATACATATACAATTTGTATGTACAATTTATGTATTCACATATATATATATAGTAGTATGATCGACGTTTTGAAGAATTAAATCTTTATTATCAAGATATGTATAAAGTGTAAACTACAACGATTAAGGATGAGTTAGACATTATATATTGTATTGAGACAAAGAGTGTTCTGCTGGGTGTGGGTGTGAATACAGAGAACACTAGTACACACGCCCACACCCTTTATAACCTTTTTTTTAAATATTTTGTATTCATAAAGAAAGTATCATGTTTTTTTTTGTTGTAAATATGAAAAATTGTGAACTTGATTATAATAAAGTTATGTAATACAAGATAAAATAATATAATATTGAATAATCAGTCAGACGGATAAATCTATTAATAAATTTCACTTTGTTTTGAAAACAATTTGACAAATACGATATCCCATGGGGCGATTTCTTTTTTATCCCATTCTATCCCACAGGAGGCTCTGATAGGAATAATCTTCTTTCTTACTGCGTCATTTCTTTTTGTACACGGAGTTGTGAGAATTTTTGAACAGCACACATTATATGTATAAATACATGCTTACAATTCAGTATATTCCCATTAACCAACTATTCTTTGTAGTCAGAACCAAAGGTAGGTTTCTGTGAAAGCACTTAGTATATAATTTGCCTTCTGTCTTAACTTGAATTTATTTAGACATATTTGCCTATTCATTGTCTATTTCAATTGAACGATCAATAGTCAAATCAACAAGAAGAAAGAATGTCATCATTGGAATTTAAAATTGTTGATATTTTTGAGAAGAAATTATTATCAATTCGTTCAATATCACAAGGTGATTTATATGAAAAATGTGGACGAAATGAATTGTTAAAGAAAATTCAAGCGTTTACACAAGAAAATCAACCAATTAAACTACTTTTGCCAGCATTTCCGTTCAAATCTCCGAATATGGAAAAAGTTTGTGGAAAATTGCCCGATGCTGGAGAATTATACGCACTTGAATACTTAAACAAAATTTGTCAAGAAATCAATTTTCTCTATGAATATGGTTGTGATCTGGTAATATGGTCAGATGGACGAGTATTTAATGATCTTATTGGTGTGTCTGACAGTGACATGTTCACATATATGAGTCGTTTGAAATATTATTCAATCACAATGACCCAAATACAATGGGATAGTATGGATAATTATATTGGAATTGAAAATGGTGAAAGTTTAGTGAAGAAGTATGGCACATCAACTTTTGATTTTGATCAATGGCTACTCAAATCCGAAAATGATCGACAACAATTTATTCATTTGAGAAAATTTATGGAAAATGATTTGGGTAACAACACCGAAAACAACAATCTTTCACGTCGACAATTAAAAACTCAAATGAGTTTAATTGCCAAACAAATGATTATACGAAATGAAGCATTGACAAATCTATTAAAAAAACACTATCCGAACCATATTCGTCTATCCATTCATCAACATCCAAATAATGGAGAAAAATTTACAATTCGCTTTTTCATGGATGCTACCATGACCCAATCTGATGATCATTGTGCTCTTCGCACACCATGGCACAATGTTTTAGTTATCAATGTTGAAGGAAATCTAAATTTAATGCCATATCGAAAATTAAATGTAGAATGTGAACATGTTCCAATAATGTTCAAAAGTCAAATATGGACTTTTGTTCAATTACCTCGCGATTCACCTGTTTCACTAGCGTCCACTTTGAAGTTGTCGTTATTAGGTGATTCACCTCACTTCGGTTTATCGATCGATTTAAGTAAGAAAGTTGACGTATTTCAATTGAATGTTGCCTGGATGAAGATGTTAATGGAAAAATTCTGTTTCATTGTTCTTCGTCAATATCCAAACTCACTTGACAAAGACAAGTATTCACAATTCTGTGAACAATTTGGTCCATCAGTTATGTGGAAATTTGGTTCGTTGCTCACGATTGGGGATGCACCAGTCCCAGTCCTGACTGGTGAACTGGGTACTGAGTCCTTTGATCTTTAGTCCATTAGTCGAGTAGTACTTTCTTCTTTTCTAGTATATTGTCATACAGTGATTTTTAGGCTGTTGACCTACTGATATAAACTATAACACTGAATCCATTGGCTCATCATATATTTCTATATATCAATCGTTATAATTTAGAATACTATAAATAAATTTCATGTCTTCAGGGTGTTGGTGTGTAGATGTTGTTTGAATGTGGGAATGGTTAGAATGACAATAACGACACCCATACCAACATCAAACCCACATCCACATCCTTAGAAAAGAGGGAAGTACTGATCGATTAGCGGAATAGGCGTCAAATGACTAAATACCCAGTCCGATTGAGACACAGTTACTGGCCTACTCACGATAAAACCAGAATTGATGCCCGAAAGTAATCATTCGTCTTGCGATTCGTTACAGTTACATTTTGATTTATGTTTTCCGCTAGAATACTTATTAAAAAGAGGTTCGTACAATGATGACATATCACAATATTTGATGCTTTATTGTGTCAAAGCTCTTCCTGAGTGAAAATGGAAAACAATATTTGTCAATGGACAATTAGTACTTGAATCAATTCAAGAAAAAGATATCCTGTATTTGAAAACAATTGACACTTCGAGTTCCATGTCACTATCATACTATGAAGGAAGCACATATACTTATCCTGTCATCATGTCACATCCAAAAACAAATGAAAATATTTTCCGATATTTAGAGATGTCGAATAATGTTATTCAACCAGACAAAGGCACATATTCAATCAATAATGAGAATATTGATACAAAAACATTTCAAGAACTTAATAGCAGGATGGAAAAGGTAATGATGTATAATCCAAAATGGTATATGGAACACGCATGGAATGATATATGAAGAATTCAAGTTTATTAACTACTCTTGTCCTCAAAAATTCATTGTATAGTAACGTGTTTTCAACTTATGAGTCTGTCTGTTCTTTTTACAAGATGTTTTTGTTTTGTATAGTTTGATGAATATATGTCGTTTTTTCTTATAAATGTCATTTACGCAAATAAATGATAAAATAAATACAAATTTTTTTTATTCTGGGTGTGGGTGTTCTCTTTATCGACACCCACACCCACACCCACCCTAAACATTGATTTTTTCCGAAAATATACCATTCGGGTGTGGGTGTGTGAGTGTGGGTGGTGTGGATGTGGGTGATGTGGGTGTGGGTGTGGGTGTGGGTGTGAGTGTGGGTATAGGTGTGGGTGTGGGTGTGGGTGTGGGTAACAGAGAATACTAGACCCATATCCACACTCGCACCCCTAGTTTTCACAGTTACATACTTTTATTTTCTTATTCATATATGTAATAGTCATGAACAGCACCCTCTATGTCTTTTATTAGAAAAAAGTTGACTTGATTGGTCAAGGGAACATGTCTTTGTCATTAATTAGAACAAACAAACAATTGAATATAAAACAGAAAAGAGAGATCGGTTTTTTTAATATCAACTGATATTTATGCGACCTTTCAATATCAAAAAGCTGATGTGAACGAAGAAAAATCAGTGAATTCTAAATTTTTCTTCCTGTCATTTAACTTTCTCGATTTTATCTGTTAATATTCACATTAGTTATTTGCGTTTTTATTTTATTCGTTTAATATATATTTATTTCTTTTGTTTAGTTCAGTATATTTATTTAAACTTATATTCAAATCATGTCTTATGAATTGAAATCATTTCTTGAAACATTACCTATTGAACTTATTTATCGTATATTTGATAATCTCGATCTAGAAACAATTCTTTCATTTCGTTACGTATGTCAACGATTTTATTCTATTACAAATACTTACAATCGATATAAACTTGACTTAAAATTAATTTCAAAATATCATTTTGATTTAATTTGTCGTATAATTCATCCTGAAAATATTATTTCACTTATACTTTCAGATGATGATATGACACCTGGTCAAATTTCATCATTTATTTCACATTTCTCTATTGATCAATTTAATCGATTACGTACATTAACATTTTGTAAAATAACAGAACAAGATTTAAATAAATTTCTCAAACATATTACTATTTCTTCACTTACTTCATTAATTATTGAACAACGTGATTGTTATACTTCTTCAAATAGTCAATTAACAATGTCTATTCTTTTTCATATAATAACACAATCTAATCTTTGTAAACTTGAATTAGACATGAGATCTTATTGTACAGATGAAATATTATGGCCTAGTCAATATTCTATAAAATATTTGACAATTTCGAATTGTAATTCTAATCAAATTCTTATTATTCTTCGTCATTCATCTCATTTAAAATCATTTATTGTAAAGAATTGTATTATACATAATCTAACTAAAACTATTTCAATATCATCTGATTTAAAACTATTAATACAATTAACATCAATGATATTTGAAGATAGTGAATTATCAATGGATACACTTGGATGGTTTCTTTCATCAATGCCTTCACTTATTTATCTTAAATTAGAAGGACGACCATTTATGTATGATTCAATATTTGGTCAAATTCGATTAGAAAATTTTATTCAAACAAAATTATATCATTTAGAAAAATTTGAATTCTTTTTTCGTTTTGTTTATTCAGAGGTTATACAAAATCGTAGTACTTCTATTGAAACACGTCTTGAACAATTTCGAACTCCATTTTGGCTTGAAAATAAACATTGTTTTGTTAATTGTGATTATATTAAAAGTTCTGGTGAGATTTTATTATATTCAATACCTATATGTAATCATCGTTTCGAATATTATGATGATTCAAATAAAATTTCAAGTTCAACATCTTCTACAATCTATAACGATTCAATAATAATGGATAATGTGCGTGAACTTGATTTACATTTAAAAAATATCACCAATACATCAATGATAAAAAAGGTAAGTGTTGGTGATAACTTATTTTGTAAAATACGACCTATAAAAGTGTTGAAATATCAGGATAAAACTTTGAACTCCCTACCTCTACAAATCACCACAGATATAACTGCGACACCAAAGTCTACTATGAGACTATTGTGAAACAAAACTGCCATTTAGATCTATGGCGAAAGTGTCATTTTTTTTAACATTAACGGTAATACATTAAAGTTAACATTTTTCGACATCGACAGCTAAATAACAGTAGGTCAGGCCTCGCAACGAAATCGCTACAATCAACGCTAATTCCTGATTTCCTGATTTTTCTTACGTTGACCGTAGCGATACGTTGCGAGGCCTGCAGTAGGTAGCAATTCATAAATGGAAACATATGTTGATAAATTTCCTCATTTAAAGTGTTTGCATCTTCATTGCCATTTATATTTTAATCCTATAGAAATTACGACGACAGTTTTTACACTTAGATCACATCAAATGTAATGATGGTGACACTAATAGCTTATAAAAGGCTTGAGAAAATATAAATACTCATAGTCAAAACAGTACTCCACAATTATTCCTATGTTTTGTTTTGGCCGATCAGTTCTACTTCGCGGAACAGTTAAAAGATGATATGAATGATTTTGTAAAGAACGGTATAGGGTCACGATCACTGCTCTTGGTATGACCTTAGTATTATTCAGATGAAGTACTCGAAATAACGTTTAAAATCTAACGATAAAAAAATGCACATGTTTTTGATTTTTTTAGAATGTACAACCGATGTTTCGTAAATTAACCAAGCTCAAACTTATTATTAGTGATGATTGGTCACTGGATTCATTTCAATTTGTTTCTATTTTAATCGATCTTTCACATCTAGTTAAAATAATATTAATTATTTCTTCTCGTGGTGATTTTCTTCAAGAAATGATTGTGAATTTCTTTGATTTAATGAAACAAGCATGTAATGTTTGTTCACTTGAAATATTTAATCGATGGCATGGTATTAGTTATTTTATGAATATAGAAAATTTTTGTTCAATAATGCCTCAACATATCAAACATCTTGATATTGATATTGTGAATATTAATGATATGAAAGTTATTCTTGAACGACTTGAACAATTATCAAGTGTTAAATTTAAATTTTCATTTGAAAAATGGATTTTTGCTAAAGAAATTCTTGAATGGATTTCTCAAAAAAAAAATAATTCAACACATTTGAAAGAGATGCATTATTTATCTTTGTGGCTTGGAAAAAAGAAAAATATTCTATCATCAAGAACGACTAGTCATAAACGTATTAAGCTAACTCATTAGTAATATGGCTTGTGATTTATTCGAATATTTTTGTTAACATTAATGTATCTATTTCGATCCTTTTTTTTATTATTGAATTTTTGTTCATCATTATAAATAATTGTGATCTTGGATCATACAGATCAGTTCCAATTAATGATTTTGCAGGTACTAGGCATTTTTTTGTTTGGGGGTGTGGGTGGGTGTGGAATGAATTAGAAACATGACTCACACCGACACCCACACCCTAATCATTGAAATTATCTGAAAAATGTGCAGACTATGGTACTAGCAGAATCGAAATAATTGTTAAAAAGTATCTCACATCTTCGAAGCAATTTCAAGACTCATACTAACAAAAATCCTTAAAAGTAACAGTACAATTTGGATTAGAATGCGAAAAGTTTGATCAATTAGGTCTAGATCAGAAAATGTTATCTCCAATGGACTTAATCTCTTTATTGTACGTATATAAAGTGAAAAATTGATCTATGGTTAGGATCAGTTTGTGATTGCATTCAATATCTTAAAATCATTTAAATGAAGCTGAGCCACAATTAAAATCTAGAAAAAAAAGGATTTTTTTAATTTTACGTTTAATGAAAAAAGCAAGTAAATCAAAATTAATTATATTAGACTCAAAATTGATAAATATCCAGAATGGAAAATATAAAGTCTTTACACACTCGTAAATGAGGATTTTTTTAATATAGATTTTCTCTTCCGAAGAGAAAATTTCAAATTAGACAAGCCTGAATACCTTTTTTTCTTAAGTATAGACAAATTGTATGTCGTACAATAAGCACAAAGCCCAATAGAGTTCAGACGATCTCGTGAATAGTGTCGTTCTCTCTCACACTGGATAAAACATTGTACATCGGCATAGTTATTGATATAGGACACAAAAAAGAATTTCGATCGTAGAAACATATTCACTATTAGTTTCACTTTGTTGATTTAGCAACGTTTTTTACTTCGATAATTTTTGTTTTTCATATGATATCCGTCTTTAACGAGAAATGTAAATGTGCTACATAACTTTGATCCTTTTTTCTATTGTTAAGAAGTATCGTTTTTAATTTTTCAATAACCAAACTGAATTGTTTAAATTTTGAAGAAAAGAATTTTTGATATGCTTAAAAATAAAATTTAAACTTAGATAGGAGAAAAATTTCAATTTGTAATTATTTCATTTTGATCTTTTAGTATATTCGATTTTGTAACAAAAAACGTAAATCATTAACAGAAAATAAAATTTTTATAGAATCATAATTAAATTACATTCAAATATATAAACTAAATTTTTGCTTAAACTTCTAAATGTTTCACTAAATTATGGAGTTAATTACTTGTTTTTTTTTGAAGTATAACTGAGATTTTCGTCTTTGCTTTAATAAAGATAATGCACAAGGTGGAAACCAATGGGGAGTTTTTACTGGTCTTGAAAGCAAAGAAATTCGTCGTGTATTTATTCGAAAAGTTTATATTAATCGAAACCTATAAGAAAATAATTTTATATAAACTAGGTTTATATAATTTTTATGATTCAATTATCGATTACGTTTGGTTTTATTGCATTATTTCATTTTACGTATGTTTATAATTTTTCTAATCAAACATTTTAAAGTAAATATATAATATAGACCACTGATCCGTGAATATGTACAAAGTCAAAATGGTAGATGGCTTTATTTTGCATCATATGGTGTTTTTCTAGTTACTTATTTTGTATTGGTTTGTTCACAACGTGCAGCACGAAGATTTCCACTTAATCTTATTTTACTTGGTATTTTGGTAAAATAGAAAATTAAGTTAATTAAAAAGTTAAATTTTTATTTCTAGACCTTATCAATGAGTTATATGGTATGATTCAATTTGAATATTATTTATTCTTTAGAATATTTTTGTTTTTTGAAAAAAAAAACTTTAGATGGGTATGATTTCAGCATATTATAAAATTGAATCAATTTTGATTGCTATTGGTATAACAGCAGTTGTTTGTTTGGGTGTTACATTATTTTCATTTCAAACCAAATATGATTTTACATCATGTTTTGAAGTTTTATTTGTTATGTCATTAGCACTTTTAGCTTTTGGAATTGTTTGTGCTTTTACTTATTCAAGAGTAAGGATGTTAACAAAACAAAATCTCTAGAATATGTTTTTCAAAAAAAAAAAATTTATTTGTTTTTAAGATATTGTATACAGTCTATGCTGGTCTTGGAGCTGTAGCTTTTTCGATTGTAAGTTTTAATAATTAAGAAATCCCAAAAAAAAATGATTTTCTATTGTTAGTTCTTGGCTGTTGATACTCAATTAATTATGGGTGGAAAACAACACGAAATAAGTGCTAAAGATCATATTTTTGCATCACTTATGCTTTATATTGATATTATTTATATATTTGTATTTATTCTGAGTTTGGTTGGTAATCGGAAATGAAATTATCTTTTAACAACGATATCTTAGTATTTTTCATACCAAATATATTTATTATCGAACAGTTTTATTTCAATTTTTTGTTGTCTACATCTTCTTCGCCATTTTTTTTCATTTTTCTATTGAACATTCAACATTTACTTCCATAAGATTCCATACATAAACAACTATATGTACACTTAATCATGATTGTGAAGAAAAATAAATTTATATTTGTGCGTCTTTGTCAAATCATTATTGTGTGAGAGCAATAATAAACAAAAGAAAACTTTTAATTCAAAGTGGATTAGGACATGACTCAACTGAATCGCATCTCCGTCTTGTTTGTTAAGTTTCCTTAAGATTATTGCAGATCGCTTGTTTTACGAGAATAAATATATAGAAAGAATGATTGCAAGTAAGAGATGCTTCATGGTTTGGTTGAGAAATCTTGAGAGTGTGGGCGTTTGGGTACGGATGTGCGTATCAAAGAGGATATAAGTCATACTCACCCACACACCCCACACCCTACATATTAAAGTTTATTGTAATTGCTTTGAAAAAAAGAAAACTATACGATCAGTTTTTACAACAACCAAAGTTCGATCACTCAAAACTTTGTCCATTTTGAAAACAGAAAGTGCAACTAGAAAATAAGTGATCTTATGAAAACTGTAGAGCTTTCCGTGCTGCATCTTATGGCATATTTTGGTTGTTAATACAATGTATTAATGAACTAAAACACCAATCCGTGTAACGCATTGTGAGCTAGTATAACGAGGAAACATGTTAACGAAAAAAGTCTTATCAAAAATTGATTATCATGATATTTGTCAAAGTATGATAAAATAGCATAAAAAAATAGAGCCTTCTTTTCTGTATCAGACTGTACAGGGAAACAAGTTTCTCAAAGCTTTCTATAAGAAATCGATATGCCTCTGCCAGTACTTTTGAACTGCCCTAAGTATATTAATAAATTACAATTCCTGTTTGAGATTGTTCAGAAAATTTTTTTTCAATATTTTGTTTTTCTTGTATTTAATTAAAGTCTTCCTATCTAATTTTGTTTTATCATTTAACCACGACTTTCTTTTTCTTATTTCTACTATTGTTCGAACATCAACAAAATGTATGTCGTAAATAAACACAAAACGTTAATAAAGAAACCTTGCGATTGAAAGACTATGAATTCGAACAGATTCGTTATCGACTATGAGCCAAACAAAGAAATGATCGAGTATGCACATATTTATAGGCGTAAGAAAAACGAGTTACACAAAGTAGTCAGAGACAATGAATGAAGATATAGTACAAGAAACAAGTCGAATTGTAACGCATCACAGTTTTGATGATTTATATTGTTTTTTTTTCTCATTTACCTAAATACAAAACGGGAATGAGAAATAAAAAAAATATGAATGAGTAAGCTATTATTCTCTTCTTTCATCATTTTTAGAAAGAAAAGAAAAGAACTAATTCCTAATGACATAGATTTCTTGTTTGAAAATGTATATTTCCTTGAGAAGGCCTATTATGTCATTACGTTGTACACGATATTTTCATTTTTATTGATTAAAAGTTACATCAAATTGAACGATAAATCTAACATCGCCGAGAGAAAGAATAAGAACTTTTCATATCGATATTTATGAGGAATTTTCAAGAATTAACTTTAAAAACAAATACCGCTTGAATTAATAAATATATTTTTCTTATGAGAATGAATCATTTTCAAATAGACTTATTAAAAACATAAGTTGAATGTGATCATTTATTGGTTCTTTATGGAATACAAAAAAAATAAGATAAAATAAAATAAAAACATTTTATCGGTATTCCTCTCATTTATTCTCGCAATAAATTCCGAGAATAGTATTAACTAATATAGATTTGATATGCTCCAACTGTAGCTCTATCATATCCACCACCATTAAAAATTGGTAACAACGTAGCACTTCCTTCTTTAATACGAGTAACAGAAAGAATTTGTTTTTGATTAAAGTTTCCTATATTGAAACTAAGTCGATTCGGTGTCCAGGTAACACAATCTTTACATTCTGAAAAGCTTGCCGGTTGCCATTCGATACTAACTGTATCGTTATGATTGATTCGATGTGGTGGAGTTGGCAACCAAACTTGAATGGTCACATTTTCGTTCAATTTCAATGTTGGCATTTGTGGATCGTAGCGAATGCCCAGCATTGTATCATTACAATCATAAGCCCAATTCTTTGGAATGTTATCAAATAGACGTTGATCAGGTTCACCTATGGATACAACCCGATACGTTGTGGTTTGACGCATCATATCCCATCCTTGTCGAACGACTTCAGTTGTTCGAAGAGGTATTTCAGTATTTTTAACAAAATAAATTTCTTCACAAGGAAATTTTTCACCAGTATATACTTCACATAATTCATCTGCATACCAATAATCTTCTGTTAGAGAAATACTTTCTGAATGAATCATTTTATAATTAAAATTAATATAGTTTCCAATATGAAATGATGTCCAGTTATAATTCCAATGCACTGGAAATGATGAAGTAGTAGTATAGAAACCACCATATTGCCAATAAGTTCCATAGATACAATCATTTGATGGAGAAAAAAGACTCAATTGAACATAATTTTTCGATTGTGGAGAGTCTGGTATTGCATAAGGAAAGTGTTTCATGGCAAAAGCTTGCAGATAAAGTGATTGTGAGATTGTGTATCTTTGATAGGCTTGTTGATTAATTTCATCGATTGCATATAATACTTCGTCATTTGATGTGTAGAAAGTGATTTGTGGTGGAAAATAAGGTTGAACACAATGAGTTATAGAATTGATTAAAGAAAACATAAGCAAACATAAGATATATTCTATTTGCATGTTGATAAAATAATACAATATCTGTTATAAAATTAAGTTTTCTAAAAAAAATTCAATGAAATCTTTCAATATAAGAAACAAGAATATTTATCGAATTGTTCTGTAAGTGTATTACACAATCAATTCGCAAAAATTTATATTGTGACGGAGAAACTAATCGATGTTTCTAATCCTCAATTTCAAACTTTGATTTTTTCTTTATTTCAATGTTTGACTTCGTTTTATTTTTCAATTTAGTTGATATGGATATGGCCAATCTATTGTATATCAATATCATTCGCAAGCGTACTCAAATTGATATCGGCTTAACAGTAGCAGTATGTCGTTGCAAATATTTTCAACGCGTATTTTTCATACAAAAATATTGATCGATAATACAAAGAAGCATAAGCAAAATGTAATAGCAGGAACTTTTAAGCATCATCATCATCATTCTTAATAACAGTCGTATTGTCTGGGTGTGGATGTGAGTGTCATTTCCCTCTTTAAGCACACTCACACTCTCTAGTGGTAGTAGGCAAAATATCGCCAGCTCCAGGTCTATACATCGTTCAGCTATTGAAACCACCATTTATGAAAGGTAGTGATGTGCCATGTGCGGCCAAAAACGACGAAGAAAAAACGAGTTCCAATAAGAAAACAGAAGAGCATCTATTAGGTAAAATGTTTGAACAAATCTTCAGTCTATTTGATGATCCGGTTTTCAACAACAGTTACAGTGATAATAGCAGAGGGTTTCATTACAGTAGCAGTTTCTCCACAAAAAATGGTGATGACGAAAATAATGTGAGTAATGGAAATGGTAGTATTCAAAGAAAACTCTATCTTGTGGTCAACTTTGATTCGATCACTTTTGAATGACAGATTTGATATTCAATTGACTCGCTCTTCTAAAGAAAAGTCAACGATGAAGATTGAAACACATAAGAGTCTCCACACTTCAAAATCTATTCTAGTTACCACTGAGAATAATATACGAAGAGTTCGAGTCATTATTTGCAGTTATTCTGCTGTGAAAGTTTTTATAGAACTGTCCAGCTTATGGCGCTTAACTGTGCACGGTGCAAGACTAGAGATCTGCGTGACCAAAGAAAACAAAGATTATTCGATCATAGTTCTCATGGCGGTTGTGAGAAAATAATTCTATTTGATGTTCTGTGTTCAGAATTTTACGTTCTTCAAACTGATACTAAAAAGTCGAGAATATAATGATCTGTGATGGAGAAACCTACGCCACATTTGTCGTGACTAATTTTGGTCACGACAAATGTGCTCCAGTTTTCTCCATCACAAATCATTATATCCTTGAGTTTTTATTATTAGTTTGAAAAGCTTAAAATTCTGAACACAAAACGTCGGGTAGAATTATTTTTTGACGTCCGCCATGAAAACTACGATCGAATAATCTTTATTTTTTTGGTCACGACGAATTGGTTACGCAGATCTCTATTCAGGACAAATCATATCGACAAATAAACTGATTTTTGCCAATGAACCATTGTAAATTATTTTTCATGGTACATCAGACGTGAAATCCATCATAGATGTTATCAACCTTGAAGTACATCTATACGGCTCCAGCACATTGAAATTTAAAGGCAGCATACAAAATAAGTTGGATGTAGGTGTAGGTGTGGGCTGTGGGTGTGGTGGGTGTAGGGATGCTCTCTAAAATAAATAACAGGTCTACAAAACTCTTTTGGGTTTTGTCTTGTACCCAATGTAGAACCCCCTAAAAAAAGTTCTGCAGACAAAAAATGGTTCCGTAGAGAATCTCAGAACTTTTTTCTCGTCTGCAGAACCTTTTTTAAGCGGTTCTACTTTTGGGTACAAGAGAGAACCAAAAAAAACTCGATAGACCTACTTTTTTTCTCAGAGCGCACCCATATCCACACCCTCAAGTTTGGTTGTTAAATATCAAAAATCAACCTTCTCCACAGGTTTCTTACTCAGTTGTATTGGACTCAATCTAAAGCAGGTGAAGCTAGAACCATTTTTCTTTCGAAACTATTGCAGTGTTAAGAATGGTCCATTTATTTCAGCTAAAAGTGTCTACATAGTACAGTAGCGAGCTTCGAGAATAGCTGGCACAGAAAGAGCATAGACAAAGAAACCGTTACAATTGGTCATGGGTACCTTCGTAGGCCAAA